TGAATTTCGAGCTTATAGCGGTAGCCGATAGCTTATCATGACTTGTGGCTAAAAAGGTTTTTTTACCACGAAGATAAGAAATATATGATGGCCCAAGCACGATTCCCTCCAGGAGCTAAGGGTCTCCCGAAACACATGCATTTAGTGACACCAATTAGAAGAGACTCGCTCGAGAGTAAGAACAAGAAAGCCCCAACTCCATAGCCAGTAGCAACATCGGAGTTGTAAACACAATATGTCCGATTAGTGATCTCGTCTGTATGTAAAGTGCCCTGGATCAAATGGGAGAAAAATAAAATCAAAGATATAATTAACTGGAATTCATCGGTCAAGTTAGATATCAAGGTGACTTGGATACTAACAACTTTACTTGGTTCAAGATTCAAGAATGACAAATAGCACATATGAATTTTGGGCTATTCAATTGAAAATATCCAAGCAAAGTTACTTCCGAAAGATTAGTCATCAGAACTAATATTCTTCAATGTGCCCCAGTAAGAACAACATTCACATAAGAGCATATCCATTTTCTTCCGAAACGGATTCGAGCATTGCTCATAACAAGGAGGAGCGTCGTCTCTCACTCGTTACGTGTTCGATATTTTTCAGTAAGCCTCAACTAATCAACTCAGTTGAAATGGATAAACATTGGGATGCCAACAAACAATACAATAAGAATCATTATTGTCTACAGACACTGAATGATAAACCAAAAACACCAATCCACCATTCCCTTTCCTACTAAAGAAACCCACCAAAAATTACAGATTTGAAGTGCAATTACACTGATAAACAGAAATAAACTAACACCCACAAAGTTAAAATCCCAATTAACCAGATATACAATCAGACAGAACTAAAATTGATGAGAAATCCCAAATCTAGGAAAGAACAAAAATCCTAAACTCAGGATATTGCAAGAATCAGGACATAAAGAAACAATATTTCGACATGATCCACAAAACCCAGTTCCAGATTTGGCCACAAGAACAAAAATCGAGACAGAACAAACATGAATTGAGAAGCAGAAGCAAGATTTACCACGCTACGACGTCGTTCGGCAGCAATTGCAAATCCAAACGCAGTTAAGCTGAGAACTATGACAAGAAGATGAACGAGGCTCGACCCTTTTTCTTCTCCCATCTTTTTTCTTCACCGCTCTCTCTCTCTCTCTCTCTCTCTCTCTCTCTCCCTCTCTCTCTCTCTCTCTCTCTCCTTTTTGCTTTCTGTGTGTGTGTGTGTGTGAACTGAGTGAGGTTTTAGAGTGTTGGAGCTTTTTGATGGCTGCGCAAGTTTAAAAGAACTTCGAAAGAGTAGGAAAAAAGGAAATGTGAAAAAATTAAAAAGGGAAATGCTTTAAAAGTCTGACGCGCCCCTGAATCTGCGTGCATGACACGCGTGTTTCCTACTTTTTTAAAGAGTTGATTGATTGATTACTCGAAATTAATTAGGTATGAAGTTTAACTCCATATTTAAAATACTGTACGTACAGGCCGGTAATACCAGTAATACCGGATACTGGTAATTGATACAGTATAAATACATTTAAAATATCGGACTTACGGTTATACTGGTTTGTACCGGGATCATACAGTAAAAAACCGCAAAATACCGGTCCAAAATACCGGTCCAAAATACCGGTTAATTAAATAAAAAGTTAATTTTAAAAAAATAAAATTTAAATTGGTAGTTAAAATATTTTATTTTTATCTCATTGAAAAGTTGAAATTAATGATTATGGTCATTTATTTTTTTACTTTAGTGCATTTGGTATTAAATATTTGTATGTATATTTATATTTATTATTATATTTGCTAATCCGGTAATACCACCGATATTACCGGTCCGACCGGTAATACCGCGTACCGGTGGCTAGACCAGTATGGCCACCGGCACGGTATTTAAAACACTACTTTAACTTAATTAAAAGTATGGGAGATCTTACGGTCTCGTTACAGAACAATTCCGTTGGATTTGTAACAGTTAGATCAACTATCTTCGACGATTACATGATAATCTAATGGTTACAAACACCGACGTAATGATTGCATAACGAGACCGTAGTATTTATCTAAAAG